ATTTTTGCTTTTACTGCAAAACCTAAATATTGTGCTGACGATCTTAAAAGCTCATGTGCTGTCTGTCTCTTGACCTCCCAATACCTTCTATATAATTATACATGTATCTGTCAAGTGATGAAAACTATCTCCATGCTGTGAAGCTCTGTTTGCTTAATGTCTCATCATTTCTCCAACAAAATAACACCAAAACATTTGTGATTGGCGAAAAATTGGCTCACTTTTTAGGAAGTGGCCGCAATTTTTTATTCATATTCTGAAAAATTTGGATAAAAAACTTCTTTTACTAATTCTTGATCTTAGTAACACATGATTTCGAAAAAATCCAATTATTTCTTCAAACAAATTAAAATGTCTATAAAATATAAGCAAAGGTGAGCGGAAGAAAAAACCATCCGCCAAAATGACAATATACTTTATTGTCATCCGCCACCCAAACAGCATGGAGAAAGCTAATAAGTAATAACTGGAGAAAATACTGGAAAACTCGCAAAGTTATGTTACACTGAACAATCATGTAAGGAAAACTAAATATCCTGTGGCCACAGATGTAGACAAATTTTCAGGTGTTTAAATCTATTTTTTGTTCATGGTTTAGGTTTTTTTGTTTGTTTGTTTAATTATTTCAGACTTCAAAGAGAACTATCAAAATATCATTGTTTTCTTATCGAAACCTCCCCTGATAGGAGTTTAGCGTTTGCATAATGATTTAGTTGAAGAAATGGAAGGTTCCGTTAACATAGAAGCTTGTGATATATATATATAGGAACTGGACAAAACACGAGGACTATAATCCCCTTGCGCTTTCGCCCATCTTAGGGCTCTTCAGGCGAAAATAGAGCCCCAAGATAGGCGAAAGCGCAAGCTGATTATAGTCTTCCCGTTTTGTTTTATCTATATTTTTACCGTCACATGGACATTTAAAATATTATTTATTGCAGTAGGAATTGGTATATGGAGGTAATTTGTTTAACGGAGTCCTCATTTGATAAACCAATTTTAAATGTGTGTATTTGTGGATGTCTACTCTAGAAGTAAGCCATTATTAAAAACAAATATTTGTGAAAGCAATTTATACTATAGACAAGAAGTATGTTAGAAGGTTCGCCATCAATCTCTTCGATAGCATAGCACGATAATTGATTATTTACATTACACAGGCTAGCGGGAAAAATAACTTAAAGAGGATTCAGAAAAATGTCAGCCATAGATATGGATCGTTATATAACGATTATCATTCGTACAAAATAGATTGTGGCTATATTCCGTGGTCGATAATTGACTTGCATTGAGTTGTTCATAAAATGCAAACTAAACACTCATCTTTATTGAGTTGTTAAAACAAACTTACCGTCCAGTGTTGCGCATGAAAAATTATCGGGTTAGACAAATTGCCAATCGTTGAGGTGAATCGGATATTACGTTGCTTCTGAATACGAGTGCTTATCCCGGTCTGCTGACACGGATCAAGATTTCTTGGCCTAAAGTTTAATTTAAAAAATTATATTAAAAGTCAATCAAAATTAGTTTGATTCGAAAGGTACAGTAAAAATACATCTGGTATGGTAATTTATCGCTGACAAATATACAAATACGAAACCGCGAAAGCAAAGGAAAGTATTTAAGAATCAGATGACTGGGATAACAATGTTTTTATTGACAATAATGTCAAGATGACTATGCTAGTAAAAATATCAAGACAATGATTGTGATATGGTCAAGCTGACTGTGATCATTATGATTATGATGGGGAGGAGGAGGAGGTTATATTTATTTTCAGTAAACCATAAATCACATCGTTTACTTTCTTTTTCTTTTCTAAATACAAAAAAAAGAATGGTACTTATCAGGTTTGTAAAACTGAAGAGTAACGATTATTTAAAAACCCGAAAAGGTTTTTTTGCTCAATGGGAAACGAAAGTAAAAAAGAACTCTTGTGTTCACTGTCATTCCAACGATGAAGTTGTGTATATTCCATTTGTCACGTTTAGATTAATTTAGTCAAAATTACATATTTTCAAAAATATTTTCTACATTCTAGAATGGGTGGATTGGTCGGGTGGTTAACTCTCCGGCCTTCTACGTAGACGGACGGGGTTTGATCCCCATAGTCGTCGTACGCATGGAGTATTCAGAGAAAGTGTTTTTCTCCTGTCCACACAACACTAACAACCCAGGTGGAGTATACAATGGTCTGGGGTGGGTGTTGCGGTATCTCTGCTGTAGCGTTCAAGTGAGGTGTCACTATAAATGACGCCATCGGAAGCACGGTTCCACTACAAACAGGACACAATACATCTCGAGCACACATGCAGGCATACACACATAGAGATATATTAGCCAGGTGGCATAGGACTAGTACAATGTAGTTAGCGCCTGATAAGGCAGCTCCTGCGACATCCTCAAAAATATATTGATTAATGTGTTATTGTATTGATTGTATAAACTGTGTATCTGTGTACTGTAAAGCGCTTTAGAGTGGGTTATTCTAGCTAGATAAGGCGTTATATCAAATAAGTATAAGAGAAAGTAATGGGAGAGTATTAGTGAAATCGTGTGACATTTTGAGACAGGTGACATCGTGTGGTTATGCTAACAAAGCGTGTATATCTTAGTGTCGATTTCATTACTTACCTGTAACAAACGTGTAGCACCACATTACACGGTTCTACGCAGCTTTGGCCGAGTTTTGCAGCATCATTACAGCAAAGGAGTTGGTTGTTTGTGTAAACTTCACTGTTTTGGTTGTAGAGAGATATAAGGTTCACCGACAGGACAGTTTCAGCATTCACCTTATAAATGTCATAAATAAATATATAAAACATAAACAAAAAAAACATAAGTTGTATTGATGTTTTTCAGAGTGTGTCAAAATAAAAATGCCTTGTTCGTATCATTTTACAAAGAATAAAACAAACTCCAGGTTTATCTTACAAACATTGAAGGTTGAAATTTACAAAATCATCCTCTCTAGAAGTAAGAATCCTGATAACATATTAGTACTTGATGTAACGTTTAATGGACTTCTATTAGGTACTTATAATGATAATGATCTCAGAGTTATAGGTGGATCTTGATTTCATCTTTTCATTGATGTGGGGATTAATGATGTTTCCGTTTGTTTCAGTGTTTTCTCAGTTGCAGTCTCCACACTTCCATGTTGATTTCGAAATTCGTTCTGGGCTTTGACGCTGTGTTACTAATTTTTTAGGATTCAAGAAACTAACCTTGATGAACTTTTATGTAAAAATAATAAATAGGAGAGAAACAACAACAAATCAATAGTAAAATAAAAATCGTAACCGAAAACTGAGGAAAACACTTAAAGACTACTCCTATAACGTTCTACGGGAAGAATTAAATGGTAAATAACAAAGTATATCTCCATCACACCAATGCAATGGAAATATAAGCTTTTATGTAAGGCTGCACATTCAAAGTGGGAAGATCGTCCATGAGTTCACTTGACCTTTATACTTCAATGAAGAATGAGTGTACAACTGTTGATAATTATATATTAGACCTTATATTAATATCTATTTTGTGACAGAAAGTAAAATATTTTACAAAATCTCATTTTTGTATGTGATAACGGCTAACGAGTAAAGTATACGATCCGTTAAACATTCTCATGTAGTCGAGATTTGGATTAACGTGTACAACTATACAGCTGTCTGTAGAAAAAATAACATAGAACAAACAAACGTTGTTGACAAAGGGTTTTTGTTACGATAAAGAAAGTAGGGCACCAAGCCAATAAGCTGTCGCTTTACCGGGGCGCTTCCACGAGGCGCGGCCGTGCTCACACCGGCTCTGTGCTACATAGCAGTCTTTAAATGACCGTCACAAGTTGCAGTAGTTACATGTACAACTGTAGTTTAAATAGAATTTTTATCGATCTTTAAATATTTAAATACAATGATAATCAGTATATTTTAATTAAACTCAACGCTCAAATAAGAACAGATATAACCATTAGTTACAATTACAACTTAAAGTATTGCTGAACATAACAGTGCCATTTTGCGAACGAATGCATGTTAGGACGGTGATTCTTAATATAAATGGAAAACAATACACATGACTAATGGAAGACTGCCACTCACAGAGGGGTAATAGACAGGAACATGCTTCCCCCCGGAAATTGGATAAGGTGACAGTTTACACATTATAATGAAGCATCCGAGTGAAAGTATCCATTTACCGTATTTCAGCTGTTCATAGTGATCATAATGTGCAAAACGAAATATATATTTCACACAACACTCTTTTCTCGTGTTGGTTTGGTTTCACATTGATATTTTATTTCGTTGGTTGGAAAGGACCTATAAATAGGAAATATACATATATAACTTTAATATAAAACAACAAATAGATCTTTCACACCATCACACATACGTTTTACCGATAATATAGTTCAGTTATTCATTATGCTGCGTGATTAATTTATAAATTATAATTTATTGAATTAGAATAAAATACTAAACGCGACGCACTCACCAGGATACTGAATAAAGGACTTCTTCCAATGTAAGTTGGAAGTACAATATGCAGTGTCTTTCATATATGGTCTGACTCCTTAGAGTGTCTTCGGTTGTGTGTCGGATAAGAGTCGATATAAACACAAGTTGAATGGTCAAGCAAGTGCTGCGATTGGTCAGTTGACCAAATAACAACTCTGACCAATCGAATTAGTAACGAACAAGCAACATACAAAACGAGTACGCCAACACACCAACACAATCAATGACGTCACAATCATGTGTACTTTCAGGTAAAATATATACACGAACTCTTACGTGTATCTATTATATACATATGCAAGACCACACACTTGTGTTTTTCTAACGAATCAGAAAACACGAGTTTATTGCGCGGACGAATATATTCACGAGTGCGCGGAGTGAATATCTGCGACCGCGCAATAAATTAGTGCTTTCTGATTCGCTAGAAGAACACAAGTGTGTGGACTTGCGTTTAGCACATACCTTCCGTATTTGGTAGAGATCGATACAAAGATTTTATAAACTTTGATATTTTTTGCAAATACCGGGAACTTTTCAGTTCGCCATGACAAGGGGATTCCCATAAAAATTAGGTAAATACAACAATCCGTATTGCACATGTGCAATACAGAACGTTGGATTTCATGGTCTGAAAATTGGTTGTATTACTATAACAAGATTCAACAGGTATGTGATAAACATAATGAACACAATATAAACATCGGGTTACGTATATATCAGTTGTGCATTATCCTCCCAAACTATTGCAGCATTTCAGAAACTTTAAACCTACTCTGAACACTTTCAGGAATTAAGTGCTGTTTACGTGATCGATATAAGGCATGTCCTCATTGTATCGCCTTTTCTACAGCATTTTACTGGATGTTCCTGCAAATCAAAGGAGACACAGATTTAAAACATCATCTTTATCCGCCCACTTACCATCGATACCATAATTAGGGCGGATATGACAGTAAGTGTCTCCATCCCAGGGCTGATGCGTGTTGACGTGCCAGGTAATTATAGTACGCGGGTTACATTACTGGTGGGGTCTATCTTATTATATGTTATCATATCATATGTCTGTTATCTAGAACACTGATAGTGACCCTAGAAGGGAGATTAATTTCCTTATATAAACAATATTGCCATATATATTAACAAACAAGTCATGATGCAGATAATGATATTACATGGTGTTTACTAAAGCCATATCACATTCGGTTCAAATTGTTTTTAGGACAATATCATAGAAAAATGTAATTTATATTCTTTATTTGTTATTATATTAATACACATATATCGATTTTGCTTTATTACGATATATGGAATTGATTCCAAAGACACTTTTATTATTAGCTCACCTGGTCTGAAGGACCAAGGAGAGCTTATATCATATCGTGGCGTCCGTCGTCTTTACGTCAACAATTGCTTTAAACTACTTCTTCTTCTTAACCAAGGATCGGAATTTAACTAAATTTGACTGGAAGCATCCCTAGGTGGTGGGGATTCAAATTTGTACAAATGGTTGGGCTGATCCCCAGGGTGCTGAGGGGCCTGGCCAAAAGGGGGCAATTTGGCTATGTTGCTACAATCAACTTCTTCTGTAGAACTCTGCACTGGATATCAATCATATTTGATCAAAAGCATTCATGGGAGGCAGGGATTCAAAATTGTATAACTGGTGGGGCTGACCCCCAGGGGGCTGGGGGCGGGGGCCAAAAAGGGTTATTTGGCTATATTACTTGAAGCGACTTCTTCTCTGGAACTAAGTGATGTACAGTATATCAACCATATTTGACTGGAGGCATCCCTAGATGGTGGGGATTCAAAATTGTACAAATGGTGGGGCTGACCCCCAGGGTGCTGAGGGGCCGGGCCAAAAAGGGTTATTTGGCTATATTGCTTTAAGCGACTTCTCCTCTGGAACTAAGTGATGTATATCAACCATATTTGACTGGAGGCATCCCTAGATGGTGGGGATTCAAAATTGTACAAATGGTTGGGCTGATCCCCAGGGTGCTGAGGGGCCTGGCCAAAAGGGGGCAATTTGGCTATGTTGATACAATCAACTTCTTCTGTAGAACTCTGCACTGGATATCAATCATATTTCATCAAAAGCATTCATGGGAGGCAGGGATTCAAAATTGTATAACTGGTGGGGCTGACCCCCCAGGGGGCTGAGGGCGGGGGGCAAAAAGGGGCGAAACAGCTCAGCATATTATAATTGTTGGTATTGCAACATTTTTTTCTGTCATCTCTGTGGTATATTGCACATACCACATTTAACCCTGGTCACAGTAACCTTAACTTACTCTGGTGTGTAAAGAATATGTAGACCAGAGATTACCAAATTTTAACAAGGCTTTGGAAATATATAAAACCTTGTCTGTAGATAGTGTGGTTACGTAAATATCCATATGTTATATGTAAGCCAGTGATATGTTATACGTAAGCCAGTGA